TAAAAATATAGCTATTTGCTAAATAACATAAAAATATAGCTATTTACTAAATAACATAAAAATATAGCTATTTGCTAAATAACATTAAAATATGGCTATTTGCTAAATAACATTAAAATATAGCTATTTACTAAATAACATAAAAATATAGCTATTTGCTAAATAACATAAAAATATAGCTATTTACTAAATAACATAAAATATAGCTATTTGCTAAATAACATTAAAATATAGCTATTTGCTAAATAACATTAAAATATAGTTATTTGCTAAATAACATTAAGAATATCAGTTGATCTGGAAGAAACTTCTACTCTGGTGCAAAGTGTTTCTGTAACATGGCATTCAGATTGAATAAATATTTTTTATGTTTATGTAGGCACTTTATATAAAACAGATAAAAAAAATTCGTAATTTGTTATTTTTAAATTGTTTTTTTATGTTTATACTTTGCCTTATAATAATCCGCGTTGTGTGTTTGTTTGTCCGCGAACGTGGCAAGCGTACTCGATTTGGCTTGGGAGGTGTCTTTATCTCTATGGCGTAGCCACTTTATTGAGGGGAGCTAAAACTCGCTCAAAAAGCCAGTCAGGCATTATGATGATCTAGGAATATATTTGCAGAATCACTGAATTCAAATCTGGCATTATATATTGTGTTCTTGCCCTCTTTCTGATCTCAGGGTCGCCATTTTTGAAACTGGGTTCATACCCCTACTCAGAAGTTAGCGGGAATAAAACTTGGCACATGTGCTCAGGAGCCACCGATGAGTGTCCTGTCGGGAATTTTTATCGGGTATGGATTCCCTTGGGGTAGTTATCAAACGTACCTGTTTATATGCCATCAACTACTATTCTATTTCGCATTACTATGTACCAAATGTTATTCCACGTCCATAATCCATTGCTGTTGTTCCTAATTTTAAGGACACCAGCACAAAAATGAGCTAATTCATCGCTTTGATGGATCCGCCCAATGGAAGTGGAGGAAACATTACATGCTTCAGTAGAGTCGTTGTAGCTCTGTGTCATTCTTTTAGAACACTGAACATTTAGTCTCGTTTAGGTCAAACGATTTACAGGATACTTTTAGAGTAGTCTTATGTTTTTAACTGTGAGAGTAATAAATCAAGCATGATTTTGTATGGTTTTAGATATCTCACTAGTTATTTACACTTAAATATTTTTGTTGAGCGGTTGTGTCATCATTTAATGCGCAACTTCATTCCTAAAACATATGCAGTAATGATTTTATCCAAAAGAGGATACAGCTTTATTTGGTATAGAAACGTGTATAAGTAAGCGGACTGATTAGTGATAAACACTTTTCAACTAACCGCAGATGTGTCTCCAAGTGGGTCAGAGGTAAGTTTAGGGATTAAAACGCTATACTTCGTGGCTTAATTCCCCGTGGTTGACAGAGCGCAGCTAATCTATTATTAGGTAGCTTTGCGCCAAACTATACGGACAAACAAATAATAAACAAACAAGTGCTGCTAAGTTAACCATCAGTAAACGGATCGAGTCGGTGATTAGCACTTTTCAACTAACTACAGATTAAAACATGTATTACTAACAAATGATGAAACAGCTTTCAAATAAAAACAGATTAAGTTAATAGATTTAACTGATGGCAAACAATCCTCAAATAAAAACAGATTAAATTAATAGATTTAACTGATGGCAAACAATCCTCAAATAAAAACAGATTAATAGATTAAACTGATGGCAAACAATTCTGAAATAAAATCATATTAATAGATTTAACTGATAGCAAACAATTCTCAAACAAAAACAGATTAATATATTTAATTGATGGCAAACAATTCTCAAATAAAAACAGATTAATAGATTAAACTATGGCAAACAATTCTCAAATAAAAACAGATTAATAGATTAAACTATGGCAAACAATTCTCAAATAAAACCGATTAACAGATTAAACTGATGGCAAACAATTCTCAAATAAAAACAGATTAATAGATTTAACTGATGGCAAACCCTTCCCAAATAAAAACAGATTAATAGATTTAACTGATGGCAAACAATTCTCAAATAAAAATAGATTAATAGATTTAACTTATGGCAAACCCTTCCCAAATAAAAACAGATTAATAGATTTAACTGATGGCAAACAATTCTCAAATAAAAACGGATTAATAGATTTAACTGATGACAAACAATTCTCAAATAAAAACAGATTAATAGATTAAACTGATGGCAATCACTTCTCAAATAAAAACAGATTAATAAATTTAACTGATGGCAAACAATTCTCAAATAAAAACAGATTAATAGATTTAGCTGATGGCAAACCATTCTCAAATAAAAACAAATTAATAGATTTAACTCATGGCAAACAATTCTCAAATAAAAACAATTAATAGATTTAATTGACGGCAAACAATCCCAAGTAACAATAAGTAAACAGACTGATTACCTAATTACTTTTTAAATAATCATATATAAAACAATCGACTGATGAATAACGTTTCTCAGGTTGTCGTAAATATAGGGGTCGTTGATGAAAGATAATAATATTTGACTTTTAACTGTGTTTTAAAACGTCTTTTAGCCGTTGTTTTTGGAAACACTACTAACACCACTAGCTTTTTAAACTCTACTTTCGCGAAATATAAATTATTTTCTATTATCGATTCAGAATCTTAAAAATTCGAAGCATTAAGGTTTATATAACACCCAGTTTATAACATAGAAACTGTATATGATGTATAAGGACGTTTGAGACAATGTACGGTATGTTCCACCTATCGTTACATTAAAAATACATATGTTAAGCGAGATAGAAGGAAGCAACCAAGAAGGATAATACTAAATATAAATATCTAAGCCGTATTGGTAAGCTAATTTAGTTCTATTTTGTTAAAGGTGAAGGCTATATTGCTTGTTATAGAGTTATCAAGAAGAGTATAATTCTGTTGCATTATTGCCATATTTGGCCATAATCATATTTTTGTTATTGGATGGATAGTATTTTATAATAGTTTAATAATATAAATTTGGTCGTTTTTCGTTTCTTGAATCTATAATTGGTATCGTGGTGTTACTGTGATGTCTACAATCAACCGCGAGTGGTAAATGGAAATTTTGGAAATTGTGGATTTAAATACTTAATCGTTAACTCCTTTTGATGGTTGTTATTTTATTGCTTGTATAACAGTTTTTAACCTGCAATTTGGAAGTTATTTGAAGAAACGGGATATCCCCAACGACGTCTGGGTACCATTTCTGAAGTTATCTTTCTCCAAGTTTATATATTTTATAACTGTTGTCCAACGCGATTTGAAGGTACATGCATACTATTTATGGCACTGATTTTTCGCCCACATGCAGTTGATATTGATACGTTTATAGTTTTTATGTTTATATATTGGCAAGACTCTTAAGGCGTTTTGGTCATTATAAAACCTAATCTTTATATATTTGTTATAACTGAAATACTTTGTAATGTAAAACGTATAGTTAATTAATTTGTTAATATGGTGTCAAATGTCATATTGATATTTTTATCATTAGAAATTATGATCCAGATCATCAAGTTTTAGGGTAAAGCCTGCTAGAAATCTTCTTCTTTCATCTTTGGATAAATGATTAAGAAAATAATAATCAACTGAGGCGAATGAACAATATTTTAGTCATCTAATCGTTTGTTTATTTTAGAATTTCTCTTTTGCCAAGATACATAAGGTCTATCTGCGAAATTATGTCTCTAATTTTGAAATGATAGTGCACATGGAAGGCAGGTAATTAACAGCACCCACCTTCAACTGTTGGGATACTTTTGTCTAACCGAACAGTGGATTTTGGCCGTCTTTATTATAGTGCACCCAGTTCACAAATGTTGGGGCGCGTTTTTGCGACCACAAGACATGAACCATGAATCCTTTAATTCACATTCAGGAGCAAGTTGAATTATAGTACTAAAGTTGGGAGAAAATAGCAAGTAATCATTTTATATATTAGCAACAAATTATTTTATTATCCATTTAAATAAAACTGACTGAACTCTAGCAAGATATTTAAAAAACAAAATCACGAAACAGCAATCATCTGATTATATGACACCATACTTTACCAAATATTAATTAGTTACAAACGTTTAAAACTAATCTTAAAAGGACATTCTTGGGGACCCTACCTTCTAGTATTCTCAGTGAATATATTCCATTTGTTAGCCATGGATATAACGTAAGAAATTTTCTTTCTGCGAATTTTTCAAGTTCCTCTTCCTTGCGAATGGTGACCCTTGTTTTGCTTTTCTTCAGGTTCAGGCAAAGCTTAGTTTAGATTAGGTTTTAAAAATTATGTAGAAATTACCTATAATCTTGAAAAGCATTTTATTCTACTTCATTAAAATGCAAATAAAATTGTCATACGTAAGATAAAATTATATTTACTGTACTTCGTCTGGAAGATTTTCTTTGTATAAGGGTGGAGGCGTTTATTATAATTATAACTTCGGTGTAGAACTTTAATATCCGCCCTTTCGGTGACTCGTGGAAGTTTTCAAACGCCTTCTTAATCTACATCTTCACGGATTTAATTTTAATAGGTATACAAAATAATATTATTACAAAACTACTAGAAAATTCTGGAAACATGAAAGTTCACCCTTTCTGTCAGCAAATGAATGTTACAATATTTTTTATCAGCCTCGTTACTTCCTAAGTGCCTCCCATTAAAGATTAAAAAAAGTAGAATAAAAAGTATTTTCATTTAAGAAAAAAAATTAGAACTTTAAAGAAGTAATAAAATGAGTTGAAAAACAAAACAGCAAAATATTTTTGCTAGAACTTGATGGGCGAGTCCAAATGCAATTTATATGATGTCATAAACAATGTTTTGCTTAATCAAACTTTCGGCAAATCACACTGAAGGTGTTTGTGACGTGTTGTCCTTGCTGCTTCTGGCAACCAATAGTAACGTAACAAACTCCTGGCTCGTAGGAGGCAAAGCGAGTAAATTCTTGGTTAACCGTGATGTAACAAAGAGACATATCGTAGTTCGATTCCAGAGTGAGAAGTTGTGAAAATATGGTGTTAAAGGTAAGTGTGTGTTAGGGAAGTAATACCTGTACGTAACGTGTATAATATGCAAACCTAAACTTGGGATCAGCTATAGTCCAGTAGCTAGAAAATCAAGCCTAAGATAAAATTAGCATCTCATTCGTTATACATGTAGATAAAATCTGATTTATCCTAATTACTAAGAATGATTAACAACTTCTACTCAAAATTAAGCAATCTACATAAAAATAGCTCATAAGTTAGCGAAACCAGTGCTGTGTAAAAAAAACAAAAAACTTATTAGAAGTACTTCATGCTATAAATCAATACAGAGTAAAACTAAAATCTATACAGATTAGACTGCAATGAACCATTAGCTGGATACTCTCGCTGTTCCCGGTATTTCAACACTAATCACAATTATAACTCGCGGGGCTCGGCCAACTTAGGAGAGCGAATAGTTTAAAATATTTTATAGTTAAAGAGTCCAAATGAATTACGAAAGTTGTTTTTTTTTTTGTTTGTTTGTTTTTTCTTGTGTGAGTCAAGTAATATCTTAAAACAATCCCTTCAGTACCGAAATAGGTTGAAAATAAAAACGGCTCATTATAAATAATGAGAAGTGTCCATATTAGATTTAATTAGGTGTAAGTTAAAATATAAAATGTTATAACATAAAATTATTATTTCTTGTGTATTTTTCATATGTTTCTAAACCGTCCAGATGTCACACTAAAATTAACTAGCGATACTATTTATTTGGTTATTTCTGAACTTCATCATTGCGATTTTCTAAAATGAATTTTAAATATGTATGAATGAAAATGATAAAGTTATAAAAACACGTTAAAACAAAAGTTAATGCCATCACTATTTAAAACCAACCAGTTACTGTGAAGTTCTAAAATACCATGTGTCAAGTGAGTTTATCTTCCTTTTAACATAAATTTATGTTATCTTATTCTCAGAAATATAGACTCTCCAAACGAGATGCTTATACGAATTTGACAGACGGTGCTTACCGTAAAAATAGGCTTAACAGTGTTACACAAATTTGACAAATGATTATTTCTCCAAAACGATAGTCTTCCACGAATTTGACAGATGGTGCTTACACGTTTTTTTTTTTAATGATGATTACTCTAAAGATAGACTTGCGTGAGTGTGACAAATAGTCCTTACTTTAACGATATGCTTACACGATTGTGGTAAATGATGTTTACTCTCACGATATATTTACACGCCTTGGGCAGATAGTGCTTGCTCTGACGATATGCTTACATGAGTTTGACAGGTGGTGCTTACTCTAACGATATACTTACATCTTTTTCTTAAATGGTGCTTACTTTGTCAATGTAGTGACATGGTTTTCTTAGATTATGCTTACTCTAACGATAGGCTTACGCAGGTTTGACAAATGGTGCTTACTCTAATGATAGGCTTATGCAAGTTTGATAAATGGTGCTTACGCAAGTTTGACAAATGGTGCTTACTCTAACGATATGCTTACACAAAGATGACAGATGGTGTTTACTCTGACGATATACTTATATGGTTTTCTTAGATCGTGCTTACTCTAACGATTGGTTTACGTAAGTTTAACAAATGGTGCTTACTCTAAAGATATGCTTACACGATATAGTAGTAATTTCTATGTTAATGTTCATTACTTGCAAGGATCTCTTCACTATAGTAATCAAAGTGGTATAATTTTTATCCTATTCTTTTTAAGTTGATGCATTCTTTCAAGATTAAACGTTCACTATCCAAACAGGAAATTGTCAAACTCTGATAACTCATAGCCATTATATTACATTCCTATAGCTTATGTCCTCTGCAGAGTAAGCAAGACTGATAAAATTTTGCGTTATAAAACTCTACTTCACGAACCACAGATATGTTTCATAAATTATAATTGTATACTTTGGGTCACTCTTTTTGTCGAACATCTTATTTGCGTGATCAGTCATTCATATTATAGAGAAATTTAGTCTTCGTTGTAACTCGTCTACACTTCTAGAAAAATTATCCTCAAAACAAATCCCACATACTGTTCGAAAGTGCTATTCGAAGTGTACATGGTTATCATTAGAAAAGATAATAGACTTACGTCAAACTGTCACATTGTTTTAAACTACTTGCACACGGAATTTATTACAACAAACAATTACATTCTACAGGGCCTAATATTGAGAAGTATAAATACATTATTTGAACCAAATGTCATCATAGTTTGCCCCTGGTGATTAAGCGGTAAGTCTTAGGGCTTATAACGCTGAAAATCGAGTTTCGATATTCGCGGTGAGCAGAGCACAGTTGACCCATTGTATAGTTTTGTACTTACCAACCAACAAACAAACAAAACCATCTCGGTTTTAAAAGACATCTTGAATCTTATTTTATTTAAAATTTTAACTATGCTCAAAGTTACATGAGTAGCATTTTAGCTAAAGGCTCCAGGTTATACAACATAACATAAAATGTTTGATTTAATAGATATTTCAAGCTAAACTTTTTATAATAGATAAATACATTTCAGGTTACTTCAGATACGATTTGCCATATTTTTTATATAAGCTATATTCATAATATTATTGTTTTCCCTCAGTTAAAAAGTGTTTAGGATTTTGCTATAAATACTTTTATTTGTGTTGAAAAGTATTCAAATATCAAAAATAATTCATTATTAGCTACTGCTATTCTCTTTGTTAAATATATACACAAATTATCAGTACGTAATTAATAATATATTTAGACTTGCATTTTAATTTCAATTTATAATCTATCCGATATTAAGTGATAGAACAAGTACAGATGTTTAAAAGTAGCTGAAAAAAAACTGAATGAACAAAACTTTCTGTATGTCAAAAAAAGTGCACTTCGAGAAATTTAAAATTTCGTAAAAACTATATGTATTCAAAAGTAATTTTTTATACTAATTGGTTGCATAGAAAATGTATTGTTGTTGTGATAAGCCGGATGATTACGAACATGTTTCTCAAAACAGTACCTTGAATTGCCAAAATAGCCACACCTGTTGGATCAAAATTCCTCCCTTTCTAAACAAACAACTTCCCGGTAGTTGTCCCTGGCCCGCGAAGCATGTCTGGCATAGTACACCTGAATGTTCTAATATTTACATCTCCGCCTATGTTGCCCTGAAATGAATTGTTTATTGTTCAAACTTGCATGTGAGAGTCCTCTATAAAAAAAAAATTAAAAGTAACTATTAAGGAGTTAAAATCGATAACGATGTTTACCTGACTGCATTTTCTCCAATATAACTCTAAAATTAATAAGATTTAATCATATAGCAGCGGTATATGCAAGCGTTATCGATATGAACGAATCAAGGAGTGATCTCTCTACTATTGTCCATAGTCGAAGCATCATAGATGAAACCTGGTTCATTTTTAAATAAAACATTAAACAATTACCCGCATATATTTACATAATACTGAATAGATTAAATTTTTATATTCGATTAGCGCTATCTTGTCATGCTACAAAATGTATTATATTGTTTTAAACCTGTATAGCCACAATATATTACTGAGATTTTTTTTGAAAAAATGCACCATAAAAAAATTCGATAAGAATCATTACCTTTATGTTTATAGGTTTAATGTCAGTTATATAGATCCTGTTATTTATACTGCCTTGCGCACATAATCAGCGAATCTATGCCTTGAAAATTGAACCATAAACACGACAGATTCAAATTACTATATAATTTATAATCTATTTACTCGCACCAGTTCAGAAGTTAGGCTACTTAGTCTAGTCACGCAAACACCCTCTACAGCAATACTGTGTGCATGAAAAATAATTAGGAGACAGAGGAACACAAACATAAAGAAAATATCCGATTTTTATATTCTTTATTATTAAAACTAATAGTGATGCTTTTTTAACATTCTATTGAAATCTTTCAATTCTATACAATGAACGGAGTGCTCGGCACTTGGTACAAAACCAGAATCAGAGTATGGTTTGTATAGTGTCGCTTGAAGTGAATTAAGTCATATTCTTAGTTGTATTCAAATTCAAAATGATTTCATCCTAAGATGTTGTCAACTCATCTCCCTGCAGCTCGGTATCAAGAAAGTTAACGATAATGACAATACGACCGTCTATATACTTATCTTATCAATATATATATTTGAATGATTGTGTTATTGCCTGTACGTATACACAAGATTTATGTGTAGTATAGACGTATACACATTAACAGCAAACATTCCTGACCCGTTTTTCATTGCGCCCAGCGGCTTGCGTGCTTTGACTGGGCCTACTTCTCCTATCCAACAATCATACTCGGCGAGTAAAAAACAAGTACAGACTGACCCGTGTAATCCAAAGGGGAAGGCCGAATCCTTCAGAGAGGCAGGATCTGCAGCCGTCATCATAAAAAAATGAAGTATAGTTGAAATGCCTGAAGCGTATTACGTTCTTAGTTTGTCCTGGTTTGTAAACCCGATTTGGTTAGTTGATGTTAGTGTTAGGATTAGGAGACAACGCAAGGTTTTTAAATCATACAAAAAATTTGATGAACGTATATAAATAAAACAAAATTATGTGGTACCTCATGCACTACTCGACATGAAATAAGAAAACATGCAGAATTTGCATGATTTCCGTGAATACTTTGCTTTGAAACTAATAAAGATGATTTAGTAACATTGGAACAAGCAGTGTTCAAACCCATTGCATTAAGGAAAACCTGATGATTGCGGAATAAAATCGTTAAGATTTAAAAAATATCTGTGGACAAAAGATACATTGTTAAACAAAGAGAAAGGGTTTAACTACAACTAGACGAGACAAAAAATATAAATTTGTACAATTCGAAAAGAAGAATATGATACACTGAAGAGGATTTTGCATATTATAGAACATATATATTGATATTAAGATTAAAATCTCTCAATAGCTTCTTTTTTTGGTGAGGTTGTTAGCAGTAATAACACAATTTAGCGTGTACAAATTAAGATAGTAACAAATACTTCATCCTAAAAATATAACATCCGTATTATTTTACTTCATTTAGAAACAATGTTAGAGTTCTGAATTTCGGTGCTGACAAGCTGGGTTCAAATCCGTGTAATATTACAAAATATTCCCCACACCTTAAGCTATGGGTGCGTTATAAGTCAGTCCCTTTGCATGAACGGTGGGAGTTAGAGCTTTGCTGACTAGCTGTCTTCCATCTGGTCAGTAGTTGAAAACAAGAGACAGCGGTAAATAGTCTTAGTAGCTTTGAAATAAGTCAAAAATACGAATACAGATTCAACAACGAGTACATAGAAAGATGAAAGTATATACCGAGTGACTCAAAACTCTACTGACAAACAAATAATTCGGAAATGGAGATGTGTAAGAAAATGATTGGTAGTGGTATGGATCGGTATATGGTGTGTTAATGGCGAGTCTACCCTGTGATAATATCATTGAGGTCAACTTTAAGGTCGTGTCCTTCGAAAATTTTATTAATGTGCATCATGTACCAAACTAGTCAATTACAAAGGTATAGACAAGAAAAAAATGAAGCATTTTAAATAAACAAATTAGCAAAATCGCTCTACAATAATTATAGGCATAAATGAGGTAAAAAATCTTTATAACGAAATGGTGGCAAACAGTCAATATTTTTGTTAAAAGTGTCCTAATATGACAACTGCCAATATAGTAACGTCATCACCAGTAATGGTTGCTGTTCTTGGTCTGCCCTCATTGAGTCTATAGGTGAATGGTCACGTAGTACGTAGCCGCTTTAATCTGATGTGAAGGATGACATTCGACATAAAACCTGGAAGCAGCCTGAGTATCTTAGTGATACTCTCCACACACTAGGAACATGTTAAACTGTTCTTTAACTGAATACTGTGCCATTATTTAAATTATTTGGGAGCAGCTGCAACACAATGATTGCATGCTACCTTTTGTACAGCCTTTTATTTTAATGCTTTTTAACCATTTAAATCCTTCAAAGTTTTAATGACCTGCTTAGGCAAAATTCTGACCGTGTACCTTAAATCTAAGTTTGTGTAAGATCATTTGCTTTGGTCAGATTTCGACACAAATCCACATAACGCCTATAACTCTTGTTCTTGAGAAACGAGTTTAATCATTTTTTGGTTTCAAATATTTCATTTTTATTATCCACATCTTTCTCATTGGCAGTTTGTGCGTATTATGCATATTTTAAAAAATTCTGAAAAATGTGCCTTGGATGACCTGAATGGTATTGTCACAGGTAGACCCACAATATTTCGTTCCATTTTACTAGTGATGCGAGTGGTTAAAACAGGTGAAATCTAAGAAGTTGTGGTTTTGGTTTAGAAAACATAGTACACAGCAAAAATACTTGCATCTTCCAAACAGCCCCCTAGTGGCTCAGCGATAAATCTGAGGGCTTAAAACGCTAAAATCCGGGGTCCGATTTCACGTGATGGACAGAGCGCAGGTAGATTATTATGTCGCTTTGTTCTAAAACAAACAAATACTATAATTTTACTCATAAAATTGAACTTTACTTTGTATTATTCAGGAAAGAATAGGATCAGTTTCTTTTATAAATATTGAAACCAATTCAGCTCTGTCGAATCTTGTTTTTATTTATTATTATTAAATTAAGAGCTGGTTTATGAAAAGCAAGTGTTGATAATAAATAAATGGTATAATGATTTTTTCTAACGAATTCTCTGTTGACAGAGCGACTCCCCCACGGGCTACTATGTCCAGCAGCGGCCCTGGACCCCAACCAAAAGAAGAGGTCCCATAGCAGCAGAGTACACCAGTCCAGGACCAGCTGCATTCACACTGCCTTCAACTATCGGTAGGTGGAAAATAATTGGATTATTTTATTCACTAATCTATACAACTGGTAACACTCTTTAGATCACCTACCTTACCTGTGCTTCCTACGTGAAAGATTAGTATCTACAATACTTCCTAAATCAGGAATGGTAATTGTTCTTGTTGTGTAGGTAGGTTAGAGTGTGAGGCAATGTCCTGTTAACGAATCACGCCCAAGACGTAAGGTCCTTTCACATACAACCCCATCCTATGAAATGCTGTAATAAATATATGAATTTTGATTTTAATACCTCTGCTTATCACCATGTCTCATATGAGTATTACACTCGTATAAAAACGTTTAATTTTGCCTAGAGTAATTTATTTTCATACTTTCAAGATTAGAATGTTGGTTTTTACATGATGACATAGGTTGGGACTGAAAACAATTCTATACAGTCAGTTTGTTCAGGTAGGCCATAAAAGAAACTTAAATGAAAACACTCAGTTTGAAAAGCTCATCCTTCATCTAATGAATCCTATAATGTGTCTATTATTAAAAAGTAGTCTTAGAGATTTTAAGTACGACTAGAGTAAACCAGAAAGTTTCCCCTGACTTAGCCTTCAAAATAATATCAATTCTAAATGTTATCTTTTGTAGAACACTAAAAAACTAAACCTAAACTCAAATTAACAATACAAAAAATTCGTTGCCGTTTTTATGTTTCTGCTATTCTTTGGTTATCATTAGTTGTCAATTAGTTATGGCATACTTACATGGGTAGCAATATAAATATTCCATGTAGTAAGACAGTGTAGATATGTTAAATAACTATGTAATATTTCTGTGTCTTTAGGGGTGGTACACACACATGTAAAAAATTTCATTTCTCGCGAAATTTCATTTATATGACTTATCTATACAAAATACACTGCAACCATTGAAATGTTACATTAAAATAAGGAAGAGGAAAAGCATGTGAAACTGGACGTGGAATTTAAGTTTGCATAGTTGTTGTGTTATCGACCTCATCGCGGCACGCACTAAATGTAAATAGTTTCAACTTTTATATTCCATGGTTTGCTGTATCATCTTTAGTGTGTTGCAAACATACATCCATAAATGTTTTTTTTTTTTAAATGCCGTTTTGTGTACATACACGTATACACAGAAAAAGTACAATAATGCATACATCTACATCAACTCTTGTATAACAGCGATAAAATTTACAAAGGATAATTGAGTGTCATCATCCAAAAGGAAACGTCCCCTCAGTGGGTCAGCGATAAGTTTCCGGACTTACAACACTCAAATATGGGGTTCGATTCTCCGCGATGCACAGATTGTGTAGTTTTGAGCTAAAAAAGAAAAAAAAACGAACGACAACAACATCCAAAAAGAAATATTCGATGCGAAATTATAATAGAAGCTTGTAGATATAAAGCAGATATAGTCGACTGTGTTCGTTACATAACATAAATGTATTCGAATGATCTGAAACAAAGTAAATAGGTTACTGATTTGACTAGATTTTTTAGTGGCAACCTGTTAATTACGGCTGCAAGTAAAACATAGGATGTACACGTGTATACACTGAGAAAAGTTTACAGTAAATATAGGGTTTCCTGTGTACCGGTATTTATATTTTGATAGGCTTATTATAGTACTTCTGTAGGTTGATATGGAAATATTAGTGCTTTGCGTTCAGACAGTACAACTTATGAAACGATTTTACAGCGGTCCAGTTACAAGTAACATACGTTGTAATAACAGTTGTTACATATATATTTCATGTTCTTGTGATAAACACATGGATAGAGTGATAGGTACATAGAATTACGATCAGTCGGTTAAATGTACTTGTAACCAAATATTTTATTAAACCATGTTTGTTTGTTTAGTTTTTTTAGATTAAAGATAACAATGTTAACAACGATAAACTCTTCCACTGATGAAGACAAGTTCACCTGTCGAGTTTTTGATTAATGTAATTTATCAACATTTTTGGTCTTGCGTATTTTCTACTATCATAGTGACGTTAATCATATTTCCTGTTCGATATTTACAGTTGCTTATGTGTTAATTTCTAATATGTGTGTTATGCGAGCATGCTGTGTCACTGTTGATAAGGTCTATAATTTTACGTACACGATAAAGCAACTTCTCGTGTTTTCACATAAACAACATCTATATGAATATTTAAAATATTTACATTTTAGATTATTATTGCAGAATTCTTATATAGAATATGCGTTTTCGCATCCTCGTTAATTGACTTTGATATATGTATACGTAAGTATACACATACACAACATCATAAGTTTTTATTTGGATTATCCTTGATATGCAATGCAGCAAAACGAAAACTACTTTATAACTTTTATGAATATCTATGTACTGTTTGGTAGAGAAATGAGAGCGTGCAAAGTGGGTTTGTCCGACATTCAATGTCTACGATGTAAACAAGAACAGGACAAACAAATACAATATGAAATAAAACAGAGTACAAAAACAACCATTACCCTGTCTTTTATTTTTTCCCAATATTGTTTTAAAACAACCCAGTTGCCCCCAGTGGCACAGCGGTACGTCTGCGGACTTACAACGCTAGAAACCAGGTTTCGACACCCGTGGTAGGCAGAGCACAGATAGCCCATTGTGTAGCTTTGTGCTTAATTACAAACACACAAACAATCCAATTAATACAGACTGTTTTTTCTATCCATGTGTTTGTTTATTTAGTGATGGTAAAATGCTGTTTTTCACAAATTTAGGCCCGGCATGGCCAGGTGGTAAGGGCGTTCGACTCGCAATCTGGGGGTCGCGGGTTCGAATCTCCTTCACACCAAACATGCTCGCTCTTTCAGCCGTGGGGGCATTATAATGTGACGGTCAATCCCACTATTCATTGGTAAAAGAGTAGCCCAAGAGTTGGCGGTAGGTGGTAATGACTAGCCGCCTTCCCTCTAGTCTTACACTGCTAAATTAGGAACGGCTAGCGTAGATAGTCCTCGTGTAGCTTTGCGCGAAATTCCAAACAAACCAAATGTCTAGTTTACAGGTAAAATGTCAGCCCCATGTAGGACACCATGAATGGAGTTAATTTGATGTTTTCTAAGAAACTCTATACAAATTTAGAGGACAAACGAACAACTACGATTCACGAAAGTTACTATCCGATAACGAAGCCCAAGGACTGACTGAATAAAGTCTCGCAAGTAAGAAGTAAGAGTAAATATAATGTATTTGTCGATAACAAATAAATCTAAAACAAAAAGTATTCGGTCAGCATCAGCCAATTTAATGTTATCAGTTTTCAACTCGCAGAGTTATGGTATGTATTGTTAGGTACCTGTGATAACTTATAGACGACACGGTAAGTTAGAGTTAAAATAAAGATTTTTAGGGCATCTTCAAGTGACATTAACGGTCAAGTCACAGCGGATTATTGCGTCAACCGTCGTTTACTTTAAGTTTAGCATCATTATAAATCTTACCTTAATTTCTCTGGTGTTGAATTTTCAATGAAACTACCTATCTTCCTAGTCTTTCGGGGAAGATTTTGGTCCCTTGAAGCGATATGACTCATGCCAAACCTACTTTCTTATACAGGCTATGACGTATGTGGTCTCTAACTCCAGGTAATCCAACCATATATGGATCTGACACACGTGACGTAAAATCCTCAGTCTGGGTCGAAAACTGAACACTGTAGGTGGGGGGTCACGGACTTGGCAAGACGCGTCATTTTCTAACATGATTTAACTATTTTCACCACTACGCTATTTCACAATGAAAAAAAAGAATGTAAAAAATAATAGTTTTTGAGCAAGCTTTGGTACTGATTAATTCAAGGGTTCCAATCCGCGTTTTTTTACACTATTGTTTGAAAGCTCAAATACTGAAAGTTGTAAGTACTGCTGATATATTATTAATGGTTCTTAATCCCGTAATTATTTAAAAGCTAACTTTCTGAGGGTTATTTATCAAAGATAATTCTTGATAATAAAGATAGAAAAACGACCTTTACACTCCAGATAATTATAAGAGAAAGTTTATTTCAACCGACGTTCGCCTTTTCGGCATATTCAGGCTACTACATAAAACTATACAGTTTTATGTGCTAGCCCTGAATCAGCCGCAAAGGCGAAACGTTGATTGTAATAAAAGCTTTCTTATAATTATCTGAAGTGTAAAGATAGTTTATTATCGAAATGTGCAAATCCCTCCAATATGCACTATAAATTCTGAAAGACAATGAAATATTTAATTGTTGGCCAAATAGGATCAAGACATACAGCACACGAAACAATTTTAATACACTTTTGAAATATTTGTCTGTGGATGGTAGAAACTTTGATGGTATTATACTTTTATCAGATTTAACATAACAATTTTTCGTACAAAGCTATAGATAACATATGCATACTTACTCATAATTCAAGTAAGTCTGACAAAAACGTAAAAAACTGTACTAACAAGCTTACACAACAATAAAATTAGGCATAAAATAAATTAAACTTTAAAATTCACACACTCAGAAGGTAGCGAAGGAACTAAAACTTCAGAATTAGTTCTTAGGTTCAATGCCAAGAAGGACATTATTTTTACGGTGTTCCCCCCACCCCATCCACACATAGAAATAAAAAAAACATCTAGCAGATTGCATAGCAGAGTTGACAGATACCGCTCTCAAACTCCTCCTGTTTACGAAAAAATAAACCCATCAAATTCCCTATTTATTGCAGATTAATCTCACAAGCATTCGCAAGACTGGAATCCATAACAAGCTTAAGAAATGTGTATTTTACTTCTTTACTTACATATTAGAAAAGTGATTAATGTGCATTTTACTGATATACAGTTGGATTTAATGACTAAATTAGTGCACAGAGATTTAATGTTCAGATCTTATCTTCTATATGCCACAAAATAGTTTCTATAGCGCATATCTCAAAAGCACGTTTTTCACATCTTTCCAAAACAGTATGAGTAAAATAACAAAAAAGTGAGGATTATAGGGGATGGAATATTATCTGTAGTCACTTCTGTCCATCACTGTCTGTGCTTAGGAGAAGGAAGGATATGCGTTGTAGTGAAATTTAAAATCAATGATATAATAGAGAGAGAATTTGATAAGTAATTAGAGAGAAAATTAAGAGAAGTAAACAAGAACAAAATTTCTGTGTTTCATCCCATCAAGAAGACTAGTCGCTCATGTTTCCTCCCATGCAATAACTCCTCCATTTTCTCCCATAGTTTAATTTAGAGCAATAAATGTGGATTCCCCACCCTGGTAATCCTGTTACCTAGCGACTTGTATTTGTTCTTAATTGAAGCAGTTAATGTGTTGGACTGTGGATAGAAGGTCCAAGGTTCAAGCAATGATATATGTCTGAACATGCCCCGCACGTTCAGCTATGGGAACGTTATAACTAAATAATAGATGATTATGCTAAAACTTTGGGTTGTCTCACCTGGCCATTTAACCCATGTGTTTTTCAATGTCATTAAGGTTTAAATGCCTAATAATTGACACTGAAAAAAATTGAGGTTGTGAAACTTATAGTTGAAAATTAAGCTTAGTTTTACCACAAAAAAAATTGTATATATATTTTTTTTGTTTTTTTTATTACTTTCCTAACCAGAAACAGTTATTAACAATATATGTCGACCAGCTCCAGGAGGTTTTTAACCTACTCGTTTTGATGACCCCAAGTCCTAGTTTTATTCTTACTGTACTAGCTGTTCAGGTGTAAACAGAAATATACTGCCCTAATTATAACAGGTTACATTGCTTATAACCCTTGTGGTAACTTTCAGTATTTTCCAGAATACATCTACCACAGTTGTTTGCCTAACGCCAACTGGTTGGTACCAACAACCTTGATCCTACAGCTGTAATGTTTTTATAATTTTGTGCATTAAACTTCCATATTTTCACTTATTTCTTTGAACTGTATTCCATTTACTACTTTAACTTTACATTGATATTTTTATCCCACTTTATATGTGCGTGAACGTTGGTTTCATGTATAATTCATGGATATTGGTATTTTTTATTCTCTTTCGTTATTTTTACACTCGTGAATTCTGTTCAGGCGTCTGACTTTTTATAGTCAGTTTGAGTTTACATCAAAGCATCTATGACACAAATATAAAGATGAAGAAAATTAAAAAGAAATCACTATAATATCGTTAGATAATAGAATTGCATTCAGTGTGACTATTACACTTTTTTCTTGCGTATTTGTGGATAACAAAACAAACCCAGTAATGTCCTTCTATGCTCTGTTTAATTTACTTTCATCGTATAAACTTAACTGTTTGCTTATGATTGTGTTGTGTGTAAAAACTAGACTAAATAGTGATTACTAAAACCACAGGTGCTCTTCTCTTTAGGTGCAGGAGGTCGGGAATTGACGGGTACAAAGTCACCAGCTTTCAGCTTCGGAATTAAGTAGGTCCCTTAGCGCTAAAAAATGTTTCTTAAAAATTTAAAAATTCATCTTTAACATAGTTTAAAATGTTTTTGCATCTTAAATTCTTTAAAAAATATGCAATCTTTAGCTTTAGTTTTTAAAACTTTTATTCATTATTTGAAAATCACATTTTTAACTAAATCTGATAATTCACTACGTAAACAAGCTTATGTTACATAAAACTACGTTTGATAACAATTAATGACTTAAATAGGTCACTTCGTAAAAAGTTCTGCTTGCTTATCTAAACTTTGTATTTGACATTGGTCAGGAAATATTCCCTCTAAATAAAAAAAGTTATTAGACATCTTTGCATCAAAACTAAACAGTACTATGTACTTGATTGTTACACAAAATGTTAGTGATTAGTAGGAATTTACAAATATATACATATATTGGCTGTCTTACTACGCTTAGATATGAACTATAACTAGCGTCACCGTAGAATAGTTATGTTTTAACTGCCCAAATAATACACTTATTTATACGTTTTCAGAACAGAAGAAAAGAGAGAGGTTATCAAGCCTGGTCCAGGCAGCTATAATATTTCTGGGATCTCCCAAAAAGGAAAGGACATAGTTCAGGCTCCTACCATCTCCGGTCGACTACAAGAGCCTGCACCATTCAAAACCCCTGCTCCTGGAGCTTATAGCCCTGAAAAAGCAGGCAAGACAGTTCTCAATGGATCACCTAGTTATACTTTTGGTAACAAAGCCAAGGATCCGAAGCAGGACAATTTTCCAGGTTAGTTAGCGTCTATTTTCTTGAATCCAGGAGATGTAATTACTTACAAGTTTCCAACGAGTTAATGAACTAAAGGTATAACCCATCATAATTAAATCAATAAGTTTTTATGTATAATCTTAATGGCTAAATGTTTTTTTTTTCAAATGAATGAATGGAAGGATGAATAGTAAGCTATACACTAAGCTAACAACCTAATAACAAAGTGTTCATCTTAAGACAGGAGAGCTGAAAGTATTACATGTCATTAGTACTTACTATTTCCTGTCCTTCTGGGACAGTTCAAGAGAAGGATGTTCACAATTCAAGCAGCTAAGGAGAACGATGAAAATTAAAGGAGAAATCATCGCTGGTATTCTATGATTCCTTCTCCAATTGGTCTAACTTGAAGAGTTCCGAAATATGATGTATTCACCAGCATGAGATCAGTTGATGATTGTTCTTCTGGGTGTAGAAAATGGTAGAAGCTGAAGAAAACCATTGAAAGAAGCTCTAGGTTGACTTTAGGGCTGGAAACTTTCAAGGCTACTTAGAATGCTTCTTAGAAAAATCGAAACTGTCAGGATAGCTGGGGGGGATTTCATTCGCATTCTTATTTTTAAAAAATATAGTATAATTATTTTAAGTTTACTGTGCAATATCTTCAATATTTTAGAAAAACATTAGCCAAATATAACATATGTGTTATGTGTATAAACACAGAACAGTATGTCTAGCACTGCAACTAGCATCGAAGCATGTAAAAATGCCAGTTTTTGTCTTCGGGAAAACAGTTATCGTTTAAATGAATATTATATCTCTAACTAAGGAAAATGTGGTCCTGAGTCTCTAGATCATTCTGGATGTATCATGGAAATGCTTAAGTTACGTCAGTCGAGAGTACCACAAAGATGAACATGATTAACTTAGAGTAAGACAAGTTGAAGTTATAGAAGTTATTTTATAAAATAGTGATGATTGTAAACGATGACCACTATATAGCTGGAAATATGTATCTTAGGTAGTTTGATAAAGAGGACCACTAATGTGGTGTTCAATATTTAATAAATGAGGTACGTAAAGCGAAATACTGTTTATCTTGTGAGGATTCCAAAGAGAAAAGACAGTCTTTTTTTACTCTTTGCTGAACTAGATGAGAATTATTCAAATAAAGAATCAGCAATTGAAGAAGAGATTATCCTTAGTATAGATTCGGATGGTGATCCAGAAGCAGATTTCCATAGCCTTCAGATTAAGGATTTTCAAGGATCAGGATCCTAAAACTGAAGTTTCAGGTGTTATTGACGTTCCTACTGATTAAGATAATTTAACATAAAAGATTTCTTCGCCCCAGCACCATAGATAACAGAATATATGCCCATCCTAAATAAACTCAAAATAGTAAGAATATTGTTCCGTCACTTGCAAAATATTTCTTAAGTCCAGCACAACAGTAAGCTGATGACCTAATTAGAAATAAATAATGTATTCAACACAATCTAAACTGCGACGTTTCGTTAGTATTTTTTAACAGTTTTTACGTTTTACGATTAATAACCTGTCCACGAGGAGGTAATCGTCAATGTTTTGTTTCTCAACAAGCTTGTGAGTCAATTCTCAATCAATCGCACGAGCATTCAATGTAAGCCTACTACTTACCAGCGTTATACATACTTTGATAATCAAACTTTAAAGTACAGCATATTATTGTGAATGTGTTGAACGACCTATTTTTGGAAAGCGCTCCTAATGAATAAATATTTGTTTTGACTCTTAATAAAAATATTAATTAAAAACAGAAATAATGGTGTATGCATTTGCAAGTACATAATAAAGTAACTTGTTCTCATTCCACTCCAGCTTCATGGCAGACTCACGAACAAGGAATGTTATTTCAGTTGTTAATTCACACTCTGTACTATTGGGTTGGCCAGGTATAGTTAGTGGCTCTACTTGCAGTGGGTATTGTGTCATTATCATAAAGTGATGATTAGCATAGAAATTAATAAACTAGGTTAACTGAATAGTTAAATGTTATACTAAAACCACATTTGGTGCTGTGGTTTGTATTGTAGGTGGTAGTAATTAAAACTGCAGGCGACATCGTTACTGGAACTAAAACACGTGTACGATGATCCCTTAAACTTATTTACAATAATAAAATGAGTAATATTACATATGTTACTCTAAATCTAAATAAAAGTGATCGTTAATCTTACATAATACTTACACCTTACTTAAGCTAAAAAAAACATAATTAATATACATTTATTTGTATCAAGTTATACAAGAAGAGTCAACAGAATATTAAATGTAACGAACTTATCAAAACTCTTCAATTAAAAAGGACAGTGATCCAGAGCCTTACCTTTGGAGGCGAGTATACTGATCTGGTCACTTTCTCCACCTTTACACTGGAGAAAGAGTCCTATTTATTCAACAGTATCATGCATAACGGAACTGTTTAATGAAGCTTTCATACTTGATCTAAGAACGTTATTAAGATATTATATAATAGTAGTTAGATATTACATAAAACCTGTCATATTATTTAATATAATGTCGCATTTCTGTGGTTGTGTTATTTCAAAGTTTCTATGTTTTATTCTACAAATGTCTATTATATCCCATAAATAGCTCCAAATTCATATAATGTGGATATATGGGAAAACACTCAACCCCAATCTCCCTCTTACTCGATGGGAACCAAATTGAATGATGCTACAATAAACAAGGTTAGTGATATTGTTGTTTTTAAGTTTTCTGAAGTTTGTTAGACCAGTCAGAGTAGACAAAATCAATATTTGTACGTTTCGCTTTGAATTTGAATTTTGTCTGGAAGAATAATTAGAATGGAGATAACTATATTGATTTCATAACAAATATGCTTATATATAATTAACTAAGATAGCTTTTTTGATTAAATAATTGTATTAGCTGTAACAAATCCCAACGTTTCTGTTCACTCAGTTATATATTTAATCAGTTTTTTCCAGCTAGTGACAGGAATGATACCAATGTTCCTTATGCCAGTGTAATTTAAAATGTCACGTCTCATCCTGTAATAAAATATTTGCTTTTGTTTCTCATTAAACTGTTTTTAATCACGTGTTTGCACATTTTAAAACATTTGTTTGCGGTATTTCTTATGTATATTCAGAACCCTGGGCCAGGATCATACAATATCCCTTCGAGTGATGTCTCTAGGGTTAAGTCTCCGGCATATACCCTCAGCCAACGAACTCCTATAATCACTGATCGTACCCAGAAGCCAGGTCCAGGAACTCACTCGCCTGAAAAAGTAAGAAACAGAGTAAATATGATATTTCTTCATTCAAAACTAATCAATACTAAACGTTCTCTGGACTCTCTTTTGTGCATAACTGTTTCATCATGATGACCTTTGCTTTGATTTTTTTTATACTTAGCTACCTTTCTTAAAACAATATTTAGTTGTTTTTTACTCTTTGAATATATTTTTCCTGTGAACAGACTCATAACTTAGTTTATAACAACAAAATAAATGTTTCTGTAAGAGAAAATTTTCATCTGCAATACCTTTAACTGGTACTATGTTTTAGTCAAAGCAAAGAACTATGTTTATAATATATATGTGTATATAGACAGAGGTTAAGTACGTTATATTGAAATTATTTCGAAGCCTCATCACGTCATTACAGTCCATCTTGCCACGTCCGATCATGTTCCATCTGAAGACTGTTCATACTTATAAAAGCATTGCAGCATAGTTTTCATTGCAAAATAATTCATTGAGTTGTCATGTCATAAGCATATTACTCTTTCCTGCACATATAATCCAGCAGTTTCCCAGTGTCAGTTTCAACAGGATAATCACACATAGAAATGCATATGCTGCATCCAGCGACTTGAATAGTATGCTTATGTATGGAATAGCAAGAATATACATTTCATTTTCCAGTTTTAGACATTTCTGAGCGGATATTTCATGGAAGCATGCTGTATACACGTGACTTATGCTGCATTTTCAGGTTGAGATCCTTCTATAATATATGTTACGTACTGTTGTGTGGGTCACGTGGACAGCTATTGCTACTGATCTTTCTGTTCATGGATTCGTATATGTTACATGACGCCGCAACTGACTTACCGCAGCTGGATACCGACTTGTTGCAGTTGTCTTTATAGGTGGTCCTAGAGCCCCATGTTGATCTATATTCCTTTGTTTTCCAATGACATTAAGTACAAAGGATTTCCCCATCTTGTAAATTCTAAATCTCCAACTTGAATACATCTTTACGTTCTGAGTGTATGAATATTTTGCGCCTGAAAGGGTTGTTTCATACCCTTCCCCAAAACGATCATTTTTCGGTAGAATCGCTCTACCTAGATAATGCTGAACAATATCAAAATTTAACTCTGATACATGCCGTTCCATCACGTCTTTATGTCGGCTGTAGTTATCAAATAACTTGCTGATTTGCATATTCAAATCGTTTTAACATAACGTACTTAACCCTCTGTACTTAATAGTTTCAAGTTACTCTGAAGCATAACACATTTTCTTGCATGGCCTTTCATTAACCGAAAGTTATCTTCTGTCCAATTTATTTTCCTATGCCCCTAGGTGTGGATTAATAAACAGAACTCACCTCAATATTCTTTTGGCATCAGACACACGCCATATATAGTCATTCCAACTTTTAAATCTTAGAAGCAGGCAAGCGTGATCATGTCCCCTTTGTCTGGACATACTGGTAAGATAGCTAAAAATTTGGAATTTTTTTTCCACTCATTCCTCCTTCTTCCGTGTTGATTTTCATCTTAGGATGCCACGAGTCTTAAAAACCATTGTTTATTATGGGCTACAAACGTATCTGCAAAATATATTTGATTAGTTTAATTTTGATTACTTAAAAATCATATTTATCACAGTTTTTAGTAGAAAAAGTCAGTTATAGCATACCTGAGCACAAGCTATTGTTCATTGGTAAATGAGTTTTAAACGTAGATATTCCATGCTATCGTGATTTACTCTTATTTTATAAAAATATCACTTTTTACAACAATTTATCATGCAACAATACATATGCATCGAAGTATCTTTGTTAATTTCAACATGGAACCCTACAGTTTTCATCTTGAATTTTTTCATAATCCTCTTTACCAAAAGAAACAAAATTTAAAATAGTCGCGAAATGTCATCAACTGAAACACCAAGCTTTATAAAACCCAAATACGCTTAGTGGCTCTCAACTGATACATAGGTACAAGTGTTTTTCATATCCTGAAGTGGAAAAAGCATATCATTATAAATTTGACATACTGAAGAACTACAAACAAAATTATAATTTAACGGATCTGAAATAATCTACTCTTACGTAGAAATGACAAAATATTACTATAACTCTAGCTTCATAAACAGACATAATTATTCATTGTCAACCTTATCAGCTGGTCTAACTGAATTAGTAGTTTTTCTGCGTATACGAAGATGTGATATGCTTTAAACTTTTGGAGATGACAAAAAATATCCAAATGTAGTGAAGATTTGTACAATGGACCTAATTATAAGAAACCACTGGAACTGAAATCTTAACCGCAAGCGCATAAAAGCACGTGTAGTAAAAAAAGAAAGTTTACATAACGCAGACTTGAAGAAAATGTCATTATTCATTGTAAATTTGGTTTTTTTGAGAAAAGTAAAGTCACCCTGTAGTTAAAATCATAAATAATATTCAA